ATTGTTATGATAAAATAAAATGTTTCTAATTCCCAAATATTATTTTAAGTAAGAAATATACTTATTTTATGTCATAATCTAACTAAACATTTAACTATGTTATGTTTTGATTTAAATTAAAAATGAATTATTTCAGAGAATTAACATTTTATTGTTATCAGGTTTGTTTCTCAATATAAATTAAGTTGAGTTAAATATTAAGTATCTTTTTTTTTTTTTTTGTAACTAAATTGGGGAATATTAAATTGTAAAATTGACATTATAAAATCTTACTTTTAAAGCTGGAAAATAACTGATCAATTATTACTTATATTAAACAAATGTTATTTTAACATAAAAAAATATAGTTTTTATTTTATAATAATCCACTTACAACAGAGAAAATCACAGCATAAAGAATATAAAATGTGTCAAATTATACTTCATATAATCTTTATTCATTATTTTCAAAGTGCAAGTGAATAATATTGAATGATTTAAAATCTAAAATAACTGGGTAAAATTGTAAGACATGTTTAAACTCAATGTTATCACTTTKTTAAAATATATCCGTTTAATATTATAGAAACCATTAGTTTTTTTATTTTTAATAGCTGTATTTAAATATTTGTCAAAATTGTGTTAATTAAAAAATATATATATAAATATACATTTAATAATCCATTAAAAGTGTCAGACATCACTAAAATGCCTCATTCATATATTTTCAAAAAATRGTAATCAATAAAGCAACAAAAGAAACTATAAAGACATTTTTAACCTTTCCATAATTATCTCTTGCTACTAGTTAATAAAATGATCATCGTTGATCAAAAATTATTGAGCTTTTAAATTTAAAAAATATAACCATAAATATTTAAATACCATGAATGTACATTAAATTGAGTTTTTTTAAAAATATTTTTACAATTAAATATATAAATTTTTTTTTTGAGATTATTTTTGAACCAAATGTATAAAATATTATATCAACAATACAATTAATTTAATAGTAAGTTAACTCACTATATATTAAACAATACTGTAATAAAATGGTTCTACTCAATCAAATATTCATGCAGTTAATTTTTATACCTTTCTTAACAACAATTAACACATAATGATTAATAAGTAATGATAACCGAACATATTTACATGGTAATAAAAATATATGCTGCTCGAAAAAGGCAAAAAATATAATAAAAATAATAATAACAAATCAAAATTATTCCGACAAAACACGTAACAATTACATTTTAAAAGGATAAATCAAGTCATTAAAAATTTAAATATCAGTTAAACTGATAATATTGAACATACTTTCCGGGAAGTAGTAGGATTTTATAATTGACTGATAAATGTATAACCATTAATTAATAGTATTAAAATTAAAAACAACAGTTGCAATAATAACATTAATGACTCCTTTGGTGGTCAACTTAATCATAATAAGAGTTTAATGGCGATCATCTTTAATAATATCTTAACTTAACAACTTATATAAAGACTAGTTTAATGGTACTTGTTTTTTGGCAACTATAGCTCATCCAAGCCACCTCGCCGGGCACCTAATTTAGTTTTCTCCAGAACTTTATTTACAAATTCTGTAGTTTGCCCAGCTACCTTTAATCCTAAACAATAAAATATAAATATAAAACATAATTAATTAAGTACACTGATTTGAAATGGGATAAGTAAAGAATAAAGAAGTTGGTAATAATTAGATTATGATAATTTGAAGCATTTCCAGGAGTCAAAGATAAAATATATTTCAGTAGAAAAGTTTAAAATTACCCACTTATCAACTGAGCTTAGAAATTTTGATCATGTGTGAAAAAAACTATTAAACTACAGGCAACCAGAAATTGTTTGTTCTCATGTCTTCATACCTAGAAACCGGCATGCACACCTTTCAACAAAACTCATTGAACGCGATATGAGCTCTTCATTAAAAGACTAGCCACAGTGTACACACATCAGTTGCAGCATGGTAGGAAAATTGGACTGAGATATAGCAGATCTCAGTCTTTTGAGGGGAAGTTGCGTTTTATTGAGGACCACAATATAGTAGTCATATATTAAAAAATATGAAATAAATAAATTACTTACTGGTAGCATTTTTTGTAATTTTCTCACTGGCATTTGTCAATTCTTGAATTTCTTTAGAAAATGAGTCACTCGTTGTTCTAGCTACTAACATCTGTTTCACTTGAGCTATAGCATTTATCAAACGCCCTAAAAAAAATTAATTTAATTATAAACATAAATGATCTATCATCTTTAGGATTTTAAATTGACTGAATAGAAAAAATTACTGTGTTCAGTTTCTAATCCAAAAAGTTTTATTTTGTTCGCTTCATGTTGAGCTTTTTTCTTCAACCGGCATGCTCTATAAATATAAAATTATCACAATTTTAAAAACAAATATTAATCAAACCATATACAATCAGACAAAAAAATTTGTAATATTAAAAATCCAATGTAAAAA